TTACCTCGAGTTGCGACCAACTCGAGTTGCAACCAGAGTCACGGAACAGATTAAGTTCGTAACTAGAGGTACCACTGTACATGTAACAGATGCAGTCTTGCCTCCTAATATGTAAGTAGAATTTTTCTTTAGTAAAAATGCATTGGTCCAAATCCTCTAATTGTAAAAATGGAAACTCTGCTTCAGCTATTATGATACAAGAAACTGCTAGCAGGAGATGTTCATTAATACTGCATGATTTATTCGGTGAGATACGGAACCAGTAACTGTACTGGCTTCCAGCAGGCCAGATTAAAGAGATGCTTTTGCCAAGTGACAGCACAACAGCATAATTGTCAGTGTAAACTTTAATAATCACCTGAGCATAGATTTCCAGGTGTAGTTCTCCCATTCCTGAAACAACTGTCTCTTTGCTCTCAGTGTCAAAATGGACTCGGAAAGTGGGATCTTCTCTTACAAAACGGTTAATGCCTTTCGCAAACTTGTCATCATTCTAAAGGGAGAAAGAATATTATTTATTCAATTTATGGGGCTGCCTAATCGAAATGTCTCAAAGTACTATACAATGGATTAAAAACATGATTTCAAAAGTACCAGAACCAAAATACACTAACAACACTGCAATGAAAGTCAAATAACAACCATTCAGGTGGTTCACAAATTGCCCTGCTGAGAAAAGCCACATTGTTAATACTTTTCTGAAGGTCAGCGGGGTCAGGGCCAAACAGGCCTCAGGGGGAATGTTGTTCCAAATGTTAGGCGCAGCAGTAGAGAAGGCACACCTGAGGGGTCCCACAACATGACACTGGGTCAGCCATCTGAGGTATGCCAAGTCAATAAATAGGCATGGCAGGGATTCTAGGAATGCTGTTCGTTGTAGTAATGTAGAATAACAGAATGTTGAAACCCTGTACAAGTTTTCTCTCTGTCCCATATTATATTAAACAAAATCAAATTGGAATTATTTTGAGTTTCTTTCTCACTCTTCCCTGTTTCTCAGGACTGTGTAATCTTTTCTGCAACTATTCCATTAATGATTTTACCTATTCCTTCCTTATTATCAAGGTTAGCTTTACATTCCTTCACTCACTCTTTTGTAGATGGAACCTGGAGCATGCCCACCCTGACATATCTTATAGGACAGGCAGGCATAATTGAGGAAATGCAATCCTGTCACTACTCAAGCCTTGTTTCATAAAGAACTTGAATTGTACCTGGGAATCACTGATAACCATTGCAGCTTATGAAATAAAGGTGTCACATGACTGCACTGAAACAAGCCCCTAACTATTTGCACAGTCACATTCCAGTCCAGCTGTAATTTCTGAGTGACCTTCAAGGGCAGACTCACACAGAGCACATTGTAGTAATCCGAATAGAGGTGACTAAAGTATGAGTGACCACCAGAAGAGTATTTGGGTCAGAAGAGTGTCTTGCAGTTGGTATACAAGACAGATCTGTGCAAAAGCCCTCCCAGCCATGGCTACTGCTTGCTCTTCCACAGCCATGAATCCAGGATGAATCCCAAATTACGTAGCAGTTCTATCTGGGAAAGTGGAACTAAACATGGAAAATCCCCAGACATGATCAATCTCTGAATCCAAAGTCATCTGTTCTTGCTAGGGTGAACCTGAAAATGTACTTCTCCATCCAGACCCTAATAGCCTCCAGGCACTGTGACAGCACCTCAGAAACATCACTTGGTTAACCAGGAGTTGAGACACAGAAGTCAGTATTGTCAACAAACTGATGATAACTGACTCCATGCCATCAGATGATCTGCTTCTGTGGTCTCATATAGACGTTAAATAGAAAAAGGGAAAGCACTGGATCCTGAAGGAGCCTACAAGGCAGGGGACTTTGGTTTGACCTATGCTTCTCACCAGCACTGCCTGGAACTGGCCATAAAGAAAGGGAATCACTGCCTCCCACTCCCAACCATCACCAAACTAGATGGTGTTGAAAGCTATTGAGAGACGAAGAATTAGGATAACTGTACCATTCCTATCCCGGTCCTTCTTGAGGTCATCCACGAGCATGATCAGTGCTATCTCAATAGCATTTTCCATCCTCATTACTAAAAAAGGTCCTGATAATCCATTTCCTCCAGGGCTTTCTGAAGCTCAGGCCATCTACCTTCTCCACAACCTCCCCCATAAAGGGGAACTTGGAGACCAGATGGATATTGTTCCGTGTCATTTCTTAAAGAGGGGATGCACCACCATCTCTTTCAATGCGGGGAGTACTCCCCCTCACCCAAAGATGAATTCACCACCTTTTAGACCCAACCACATGTCATCTCCAGGGTGGCCTTGACCAGTCAGGAGGGATGTGGATCTAATGGAAAAGTCACTGGGCTAATAGCTCCAGGAACCCTCTCTATTTGAGACAGAATGAAATTTCCTTCAGATAAAAAAGCAAGACATCAATCACATCAACAGGACATGTCCAGCTGGAGTCCAATTTGGAGGTGCCTAATATAATCCAGGAACCCTTGAAATGTTCCTCTGCCTTCCTTCCCTAAGATTGTTTGGGTCACCCTAAACAGGGCTGCTGCAAAGCACTCTGCAGACATACAGTGGTACCTCGGGTCACAAACGCTTCTGTTCACGACCAATTCGGGTCACGAACAAATTTGGAGGGGTCAGAACGGATTAACCGTATTTACATTGAACCTTATGGGAAAATTTGATTC